GCCTGGAGTCGCTGGAGTCCTGCCTGGAGAAGCACATCCCGCCTGAGGACCTCGCCGAGGTGAAGCGGATCCTCTATGGGGGCGAGGCAAGGTGCGCTGCGAGGACGGGCTCGTCTCCTTCTCCCCCACGGGGGAGCGTCCCGTCGTGTCCCTCCTCCCCCTGGCTCTCCTCGATAGATGCCCAGCCCGGGAGCGAGCGGGAAGGTGGCAGTTTGAGGGCGGGTGCGCAGGACGCAGGGCTGGGCTGAAAGGAGAAAGAAGGGTAGGTGCTGTGGTGCTTGTGGCACTGCGGTGAGGTTGGGCTGTGGGGAGATGACGGCGGTGGTCTGGGGGTAATCCAAGGCCGGGAAGCAGGATGGTAGAGGGGTCATACGAGGAGGTGGCTGACTGGAATGAAAGACCTGAGGGTGGTAGTTTTGAGGGGGAGCTGGGGAGGTGGTGGCTTCAGGGTGAAGGAGCTGAAAAAGTGGGGATCTGACATGAAGAAAAACACGCAGGGGGGGAGGTGTTTGTAATCTGGGGGTGGCAGGTGGAAGTTTGTGCGTATGTGCTTCTTGGTTTCCATAGCAAGGTGATAGTATCTGGGAATCAGAGCTGTAGAGGAGGAGACGGGGAGTTTGCTGCTGTGGATGAGAGCAGTGAGGTTTGCACATGGCCTGGCTACGGTCTGACTGTTCCCTTGGCTGATAGTTGCGTATGGGGGCATGGGAGCTTGGGTGTCCCTGCAGGGATAGGCAGTACCCCTGTGAGCCGTTGGGTCCATTGCATTCGGAGCAGAAAAGGAGCACATCTCATCTTTAAATGTCTTTGTTTTCTGTTCGATCCAGAAAACTTAATTTGCCAGCTGCTGCTCTATCAGCGGCTCAGGAAAGAGATTTTGAGCTACAGGGCTATGGATTTGAAGCAGCAGCAGAGCAATTGAGGAGGCCGCGTAATGTTCGAGTAGGATTGGTACAAAATAAAATTCCACTTCCTACAGACACAGCTGTGGCAGTCCAGGTACACAAACTGGGATCTGGGCCGTTTGTGTGTAACTCCTCTTCTACTGGATTGAGAAATCGCATGCTTCAGTTGTTGATGGTGGAAAATCCATAATGAAATGTGGTGATTGTCTGGCAATATAGGACTCATCTCTGTCTTAATGCCACATACTGTAAGAAATCCAAATGACACATTCAGTTTTATTCTCAGAAACATCTCTTGCGTTGTGTTTACCTAGTGAATTGCCCAACCTGTTTGCAGTTTTTCCAAAGCTAAGTATTCAGTTACTGCTTTTGTACATGAAATCCTTTGTCTCTAAAATGAAGCAGAAAATCATTTACGAGAAATCAAAAGAGATGGCAATCCAGGGAAACCACAGGTGCAGTTCTTGGTTTTAATTGAGAAATGTTCCGTTATAGGAAAATCCATTAGAGTAAACACAGATTAATAAAGCTGTGTTCATTATTCTTTGTACAGCAGTCAACCAAATCTTATTATGAGGTGACTATCCTCTCCTTACATCTTGGACACAAAAGCACTGAGGTGACATATATAGAAATAGCCTCCTAAAAGTAGATTTTAAAAAGTGAAAGAAAACACCATGTTTATAAGATTTTCTGGTAGTAGTAGTTTTGTACAGTGACAGGACAGAACATTTCTGAGGTAATTTGTTTTGGAAAGATTACCTGTCACAGGTGCAAGTAATTAATTCAGTATGTGGATAAAGTCCATGGATTCTTCGTAGCATCTGTTAAAAAGACTACCAGTTATATTAATGATTTTCCCTTATAAATAACTAGTTAACTACTTCTGTAAATCTGTGTGCAGTTGTTGAGTTTGTAGGTTACTGTTGACTTGTCTTTGGTCTTTTTTTTTTTTTTTAAATGCAAAGTGCTACACCTGTGCTTATCTCTTAAGTAGAATGATCAAGAAAAAAGTACTTTGAACCAATGTTTTTTGACTAATTAATAAATGCTTTGATTTTTTTTTCCTTAGTAATAATCTACTTAGCTCTTTGGACAGAGGGATTCAGAAAATAGTTTGGAGTTGATAACTTCTAGTGGGTGTCCCAAGATTTGCGTGTGAGCAGAATTTGGAGATAACCAAGGAAATGGACTGTCTTCACCTCATGTTTTAAGATTCTGAATGCTTCACTTTGAATTCACATTTACTTAACATCGTTCTGTAGGTTGTTTACGATAAGCAGCAAAATTTATAATTTTTGCCAATTCTGTTAAGGTTTTTAACTATTTCCAAGTCAGTCATCAGTGAGTTGCAATATATTTAAATGTTGTAACCATAGAATTAGAGTTTCATTGGATTGCCTTCTCTATTTTCAGCATCTAAATGCTTTTAAAAATCTGTATGTAACTCTCTCCATTATCAGTGCTCAAGAATCATAACTTCCTGAGTTATTCCCCCTGAAAGCAATGGGACTAAGTATAGAACAGGATGAACTTAGTGTGTGCAAAGCTTGTAAAACTGAACAGAGCTTGTAAAACCAGGCTATTAATATACAGGTGAGTTAGAACATACAGCTTTTATTACAGCGTGACTCTTCTCGCAATCAGGTGGCTGCACTACACAGACGAATTGAGGAGATTGTGGAAGTAGCTGCAATATGTGGCGTCAACATCATTTGTTTCCAGGAGGCTTGGAGTGAGTATTTTCTGTGGTTCCTTCTAGGTTGTCAGAGGTCAAGTTCCTTCTATTTTAACAAGTATTCTGTACTAGATGTCTTGCAAGTAAACAGTAGAAGATTCCAAGATACAACAGTTGATTTGCTTTGTACAGGACAAAACAGAGTCTTAGTTAGCAGAGCTGTATGGAAGATGTGTGTGAGGTCTGTTACATTGAAGACTAGTGTGTGCTGCACCACTGATATTTATAGGTGTGCACCATCTTTGTGTCACCCTTCGTGATCCTTTCCTCATTTTTGTCTCCTAAAAATTTTTTTCTAAATAGGTGCTAAAATTTAAAAAAATCTAATTTTAATTAAAATGGAGTCTTTGAGGCTTAATAGAGGCAAAAACCAAAATGAAGGCCTGAGTTGTGAAAACAGGGTATTCACTGAAAGTGTACACTATTGACTGGGGATTATTTCATATTCTTATTTCCGGCAAGATTTCACGAAGTGCATTCTGTCTCTTCTACTTTGCTCTGCATGGGCCTAAAACTCCTTGCCCTTGCTAAAAATATTTTTAAATAGCTTTTGCCTTTAAACAAGGAGAACAGTTGAATCATTCTTACGTGTTTAATTTTTTATATGTACTCATGCAAACTGTGTTCCTGAGTGACATGAACACTCTTGTAACTTTTGTCTTGCATTGGTGCTTTCCAGCCATGCCCTTTGCTTTTTGTACAAGAGAGAGGCTTCCATGGACTGAATTTGCTGAGTCAGCAGAGAATGGGCCAACAACAAAATTCTGTCAAGAGGTAAAAAAAAGCCCAAGACCCCCTTGCCATCCAGCCTCCAACCTCAGCCCATAACTGCCACTGATTAGATTGGATTTCTTCTTTAGGTACTGGTTTGGTACCACTGGGAAAAACAAAATAATCAAAAATAAATTCTCCCCTTGCTTGACAAATACTGTGATAGTGAAGTAGAAATGGACAACAACAGCTGTGCTCAATGTTTATTTTTTAAGCTACTTTGCATTTATGCTTTGTACCATGGAAGGCAGATGAAACTGCCCATTCGGCTCTTCCTGAATTTTGCCAGGGAGGAGCGATTCTTCATACAAGTATTTTTAATTTCCATTTAAAAAGTGTTTCTTGCTTGGAACAGTTGAGCATTAAACAATGCTTGTATGAAAGTGTGAGGACAAGAATAGCTAATATTTTCTGAACAGGGAAAACGTTCACACAAATGCATCTCCCTGTGAAATGACACAAAGCGTGGGGGGCTTTTTATGCTCCCAAGGAGATTTGTTAATCTCTGGCTCTTACTTTGCCAGAGACTGTTGATTGCAAGAGTGGCAGAGTTTATTTCTGTTTGCTGACAGCTTTTTTTAATAAAGGATTTAAATTATTTTTATTTTTTACAAGTGACTGAGACAAACAAAGACTGATCTGATGTCAAATTTGCCCAGATATGCACTGACCTATTAAGCTTTTGTAGACAGCATAATATCTTTAGTCTGATCTAGGGCAAGTGTGTATTGCTTCTCACTGTGGAATTAATGATACTATGGAAGTACGGAGAAATAAAAGAAGTGCTTTGAAGGAAAAGACAATGTCCTAGTAAACTGGCAGTCAGAAGTTGCTGTATTTCTCACTCACACCTATGTTATTTAACATAGTTAGCATGGAATGCTATTTTATGTTTGGGTTTTATTTAAATACCTGTTTTCAGCTAGCCATGGTGTTTTTCATTGTGGCATACCACAAGTATGTGTGCCAGAATGAAAGAATAGGATGGGCTCTATCTCCTCTTACACCTGTCAGTAGATAGAGGTTGGCTTTGCACCTTGCGTTTCTAGTTGAAGGGTTCAGGTGGAAAGCCCTCTGTGATGTATACGTCATCAAAGGAGCTGTGGCAGTGAGGGCATACCAGTGCAGATTAAGCCTTAGACGCTGAAAACAGAGCAATGTACATGGTGAATTTTTTTTTTTTCCCAATCCTTCCTTATGAACAAAAAATGAAAATAATTGCTGCAGGCTTGTGTGTAATGGAAGAACTGTGTTCATTTGTATAGCTGGCAAAGAAATACAATATGGTTGTGGTGTCTCCAATCCTGGAGCGAGATGAAATACACGGGGGAACTCTGTGGAATGCTGCAGTGGTCATTTCTAATTCTGGAGCGGTCCTTGGCAAAAGTAGGAAAAATCACATTCCAAGGATTGGAGATTTCAATGAGGTAAGATGCAGTATTGTGATTATCAAGCTAGTCTTACTTTGCAACTTTTGTTTGAGTCAGCATGTGTTGTATCAGAGTCATATTGGCAGGAAATGTAATGTATTTCTGGAAAATGTGGTTTGTTAAGTGTCAGATCAGTTTTTCTCAGGTGAAATTATAGTAAGTTGATTTATCAAGAATAGAGAGTGATGACTCTAGGACAGATTAAGGAGTCTGTCATGCACTTTTCCTTGGCCTGATGGAAACTACAGAAGTATCAGGGATCTTTAAAACAAAATCGTGTAAGTCACAGCGTTGTTAGGTCGTTGTGTGCGACTGGCTCAGATAGCTTTTGCATGTGTCCATGTTGAGCTTCTTTTAATTTGGCAGGCAATGGTTCAGATGTGAGCATTATGTATGGTCTTGATCTCTGTTTCTCTGTGAGGTTGTCTGGAAATGACTGTTCTTTTGCTCATGTTTCTTTGAGCAGAATCCCTTAATTCATTATGCCTCTGACTGAATAGCTGGTTTATGGCATCTTCTATGTACTTATCCCATTACTTCCACTGAAGCCCCAGCAGTTGTTAGGCCATCATCCAGAGTCAGCTTCAGAAACTCAGCTGGTAGTTACGGCAATGTCAGAAGAAAACTGTTAGATCTGAAATGTGTTTACCCATCCATAGAATTATCACAAACAGAAAGATCAGGATTAAAAATTAACCAGAGTCTAAAAATACATTGTCTAACCTAACTAAATCTCTCCTTGTCAACTAAGGTGAGTAATTAACAGAGGCATTTCTCCTAAGCACTGGGGGCTGTATACCTGCAGTTGGTTTTGTTCCTTGTCCGAATGCTCCAGTCACTAAACTGAGGCTTTAGAATCCAAACTACTTTTTTATTAATTATAAAAGGGTTTTTTTGTGTGTTGAAGCTTCATCTTCAAAGACCTCTGGAAGTTTTCACCTGAGCTCCCAGACCTGATCTGACTGGTTTGTGTTTCTTCAGAGAAGGCTGTTAATAGGTTTCTACACAATGGATCTCTGGCACAGGCCTGTCAGTCACCAGTGCTGACTTCTATCTTTAACAATTATTTTGGTATTTAACATTATTTTATCAGAGCTATCTTCTAGGTAGCAAAATAGTAACTAACAAATCCTTATACAATACAAGCACTAATAAAAATTAATTTTGGTTACTTTTCACATTCTTACTTGTTTCTTGTGTAA